AGAATCCTAAATTATTTCCTTATTTCAAGGTAGTTGTTCCCTCGAGTTTGTCCATTTTTCTGAAAAGGCCAGAAAGTAAAATGTCTTTGTCTCATCTTTTTACGGGTATCAGCTGACAAATTCCGACATGAATTGGCAAGTATCGGGCGAACCTGAAAGCGACATAAATCTAACATACATTAGCCTTAAAGCATAATTACCAGAAATACAGTGTTTTCAAATGGAAAGACTTGGCACAATTACACAACTCGAATATGACATATGAACACGATTTGCCAGGCATTGATCAGTATTTCTCTGAATTTGTGTTTGTTAGGACTGTGTTGGAATGGTTGATTCCATACAATTCCCAGTGATGGTAGCTGTAGATGAACAAGGACCTTTCCGCAATAAAAACGGTTTGCTTACACAAAATGTGCTGGCAGCTTGCTCATTTGACCTCAAGTTTCATTACGTCTTGGCTGGGTGGGAAGGCTCAGCATCCGAATTGCGAGTCCTACATTCTGCTCTCACAAGGAATAACAAATTGCAGGTCCCTGAAGGTACTTCTTACTTGAAAGGAACTTGTGGCTTATTTACTAGTTTCGTTGGACAAACCGCGGTTACATTTACTTAAAAGAAAAACAATGTCAGTCTCTTTCTTTACAGGATATTATAGGTCTTTCTTATTTTATTGAGAATCTATTGACATCTCTCCGTTTCAATCTTTTTTTGTCAGAAGTGTCTTGTTCGTATGTTTGATTAAGCCCTGGACCTTGTTGTGCCAATTTATCTGATGCAGGCAGGTACTACCTGGTGGACATCAAGTATGCGAATCTGCCAGGGTTTCTAGCCCCATATCATGATGTACCCTATCACTTGAAGGGGTTGCCTGGGGATCATCATCCGCAGGATGCAAAAGAGTTGTTCAATCAACGGCATTCATTATTGAGAAATGTCACGAATCGCATCTTCGGTGCTTTGAAGGCCAGATTCCCGATTTTGACATCAACTCCTCCTTATCCATTGCAGACACAGGTAAAGTTGGTCGTGGCTGCATGCGCTATTCACAATTACATTCGTACAGAGAAACCAGACGATTGGCTTTTTAGAACGATTGAGCATGGAGATGTGATACAAACGGATGAGGCATTGCCCTCTGTGGAGGTAGAACAGCCAATGCTCTTTGAGACCCAGGACCTGGATTTTCCTTTTGTAACAGAAGATTTAGAAATGTCTTTGCAATTGCGTGATTCAGTTGCTACTGAAATGTGGAACGACTATATCAATGACGATTTATCAGGAATATAGACTCATGTGCATAGTTTGAATTTTTTAGGCCATGTTCTTTCTGCTGGATGACAGAGTTAAGGCCAAACTTGGCCTTTATTGTTCTTTGGCGCTTCCCCGTGGAAAGGTCCCAGTTTGGCTCATGTTGTTTTTCCTTTCTATGAGCAAGGCTTGCATTTGCTGATTTTTTTTTTTTTTGAATATTTTTTTTTGTAATATGTTCCCGCTCTATTTTAAATGCTGCTTTTGGTGGTTTGCTGGTGGTTTTATATATTATCATCAATATTTGGATATATCAGCTCAAATCAAATGTTCAGCTTTTCCCTTGGCCCAAATTAAAAATGTTCTCTGGTCATACTGTTTGATCCAAAAGCTTCCCTTCCTGGTCGATATATTATCCTTCCGACTGTACTATTTTAGAGGATTTAATAGTTACTGACTTAGTTCTACAAGGACATCACTGCCACTTAATACTGATTTTCAAAATTAGAAGAAACTATAAAGGCAGCTCAGATGGCTTGAGGCACACAGGTTGGTGCACATTCTCGGTTTTTGACTTGTCCTGCTCTAGTCATTGCATAGGCAGGATATCGCAAGCACCTGCGATTCTCATGGTTAAGTGAGTTGCTCTTTTCTCCTCTTTTGCCAACTGGCTTGAAATTAAAGGATAAAAATCTGAGTAGGGTTTTCCCTGGTCGTATTTTGCCAGTTTTCATTTCGGTGGATTTCTTGTCAGTAAGATCTTTTCTCTAGTTTATTAGGCATAATTCCTTCTGCTAGTTGTGTGCTTTCAGATGCTGTTGTGTGGTTTCTCAAGGCAGGTTAGCATTGGTATTTTTGGTTCTTTGTTCTATGAGTTTTAGCTGGAACCCTCGTCTGCATATTTTACTTATCATCTTGTATGATTGCCAGCATGTGAAGTCCAGAAGTGTGAAGCATTAATCATTTCATCACTAGATTTTACTGAGAAAGGTTGTGCATGTGTGCTCTATCTCACATTTCACTCTCCCGTCCGTCCTTTTCACTCACCATGACCCACCTTTAGTTTACCTTGTCCTCATGATGTCCCTCTGCCTTTATATTAAGAGAACTTTCTCTCTCCTTGCTTTGTCCCTTTTTTCCTCCATTGGATTAGAGACTCACATGCTACATGGAATTTAATGTTCACGGGACCATTAATATGGCTCTGGTCTTGGAGCATAGCTTATTCGGGTCGGACAAGAATAATGAGTATTAAAGTTTCAGCCCCAAAGAAGTAGCTTAACACGCAAGAGTAACTTTGAGATGGATCAGATTGAACTGGAATATATCTAGGGCTAATCAGTTGGTCCGGACGGTTACTTGACTTGGTACTTCGATCCTTGATGAATTTAAGGTATAAAGATTGATCTCCTGGTAGGTAACAGTTCCAGTACATGGAGAGGGCTTGTTAAATCGCAAAGAGTTGAATTGTATTGAACACCGGCGGATTGACCATAGATGATGTTGCTACTTAACTAAAATAATCTTTGTTGTTAGCCTGAGTTGATGGACTAGGAGATGAGAAAAGCTATGGTTGCGGCCTGGTAATTGAAAAGATAGGCGCTTCCATCATCCTTTTGAGGATCATAGAAATTACAGATTTTTGGCTTTTTAATAAAGAATTTCCATGTGCTTATATGTAACGACACTTCACATTAGAATTACTCTCGTTACAATTGTGGAATCACAAGCCCTTTGAAAAGATGAGAAAAGAATTGGATGCAAATGTGGGAAGGGATAAGAATAAAGTGGAAAAAGATTGGACCAACCTTGAAATCTGCAGATGAACTTTGCTTTAGACAGATTAGGCAGAACATTTTCAAGAGATAGATTAATATATTGACTAATTGGTAAGTTAGGCACAATGGCACATTATCCTTGTCAGTGGCTTTCATTTGATTATTCTAAGTTTCTGAGGGTAGCGTTGGAAGAACTCAAATCTTGCTCACTGCAAGACAAACTAGCAAGTCCACTTGGTACTGCCTTCCACTTTTGATTTCTATCTGTCAATTTCCATCAAGTATTGAATATTTTATTGGGTATTCTTGCTGTTTATGGATGAATATACCATCAAGATGAAGTGACCTCCTTCAGGTTGGTTTGCAAACTTCCAAACCAACGACATTGGAGTTTAGTGAAGGTCTTAGCTTAATGGATTGTCAGATCGAGATTCCCCAGATTCATCCGCTTCTAATCTCATTACAAGTGCCGCGACCCTATGGCTCGGGCTAGACAAGGTCAAAAAGGAGCACTTTGTCTTCGAATGGCGTGACCGGTGTCGGCAACGTCTGCTTAAATAAGGCGGTGCCAATGTTTAGGAGCAATATAAATTGTGTATTGGAATTCTGAGTATGAACTTAAAACGTTTCATCCAAATTTCGCTTGAATCTCAGAGTTCCTGAAATGTAAAGTAACAAGAGGGTATTCCCTCCCCATCGGAAAAATAAACATTGTGGGAGAATTAGTGATACGAGGTGTGCCGGCACCGACATGTTAAAATAAAGAACGCATCTGTGGAGCTCGCCGTCCCTGTAAAGATCATTATAAGTTGGGTATTGCTCATGTAATAATACCATGTAGATCAATTCTATACTTGTGATGTTGATTTTGCTCAAACAAACGATCTATATGATTCTCACATTAAAACAAATGCACAATAAGGACCATTTTCTTTTCTTCCCTTTTCGTTTTGCAAAATAATCTCGTTTTTCTCGTCTTTCTAAACCTAAATATGTAAAGGAGTTAGAGAGAAATCCAACAAACAATGGAATGCACAGATAAAATTATCTAGGCAGATTGTAGAGAAAACTATCAAATTCTTCGCTGCTCTAGAAAAATATTCTCTTTTCCACTCATTATATGAATCGTCAAATTTGAATTTGACCCTTTAAATTTTTGTTCCCCCTACCTCCAAACATAGCTCAGAAACCAGAAGAGAAACCATGGCAAGTGATTGAAAGTCACATGCACAATTGGATGGCTTGACTTGACATTAAGAGTAGACTATGAACAGACTGTGAATAACTAGACACCAGATTTTACCAAGCCGAAGCAAACTTGAAAATTCAAAAGGGCCAAAACGAGATCCAACTTAAAATTTCCTGAGCAAACTGCTATTAGAAAAAACTTTCATTCGATGTCAGAAAAGATTCATTACAAAAGGAGGAAAACTACAGGTAGGGTTATAGGCTGTCGTACTAGGTGATGCGCACTGTCGCGAATCACCCGCATGCGTCGCCATCTTCTTTGAGATAAGATTAGGCCGAAGCTATATATACATTACATGCTCACCACAGATTGTGTCACCCCCAAATTATTTATACATAAATCGAGACTTCAAGTCAATAATTACACGAAAATCCAAGTTTTGAAGTTCTTTTTTTTTTTTGGTCTTACAAGTTTTGAAGTTCAAACAAAGTGAAAAACTTCGAAAAAAATTATTTCTTTTCCTTTGCATTAATCAATCTTAAATCCTTCATCCATTCATCGCGAAAATGACACGTACAGTACCTTTGAACTTTTAATTTATTCGATATAATTCTTACTCTTTAACTTAATATATAATATAATCTCTAAATTACATAAAATAATCAAAATTCAAAGGTTATTTGTATCATTCTAGTCTTTTTTTTTTATTTTTTCACTAGACATAAAAATTGCAAGAAAGCCACAGCACTCAGACAGGGACCACCCAAAGCAAAGCTCCATCCTCAAAATCTCACTCTCTCTCTCTCTCTCTCTCTCTCTCTCTAGAAAGAGATCATATCAAGGAGGAGCAAGAACCGCGCCCATCTTCTCGTTTCTTGACACAGAGACACAGAGAGAAGAATGCAAGATCCGGCAAATGACTTGTTTCCACCACCCTCGTCTCCCACGGCATCCTCGCTCTCTTCCTCTGATCTCGACACCGAGGTGAAAACTCCAACTGGGTGTCCTTCAAAATCCGAACTTGTTACCTCGGATTGCAGAAAAGAAGCTGCTTTGCCCCCTCGAATTCTTGAATTCTCACCCTTCTTGCTGTTTTCTTGATTCTTGATTTCTCAGTCCACAGGTTCTTTCTTCCATGACCGGAGCACGACCCTGGGAACCCTAATGGGCGTCAGCTTCCCCGCCATCGCCTTCCGGAACCCGTCCCAGCACCGCGAGGCCCACCACCTCCAGGCATCCTCGGCAGCCGCGGTCGCGGCCGCCTCCGCCGCCTCGCCCGGCGGCCGGAAGAGCAAGAAGCCCAAGAAGAAGAAGAAGGCGGCCGCGCCCGCGGCGGCCCTGGTGGCGGAGCGGCGGCGGAGGTGGTGGCGGCTCTGCCGGGACGACGGCGGGAAGCCGGCGTCCCTCGGGGAGTTCCTCGAGATCGAGCGGCGGTTCGGGGACGGCGCGTTCTACGACGGCGCGCCGGAGTCGGCGTTCCACGGGATCGTGAGCGGCGGCAACCAGCAGAGGGAGGGAAGGGTCCTCTTCGCCGACGGCCGGGTCCTGCCGCCGGCCGTGGACGTCGGCGACGGGACCCCGTCGGCCGGCGGCGGGGCTCTATGCCGATTTCCGGTGTCACTCACTGGGCTCTGTTCTTGATTATGAGAGAGAGACATTCTTGTCGTCATTAGTGATTGATCATTCTTTGTAAGCTTGTCATTTAGGAGTTGATGATCATTATAAAAAGCATTAATCTGGCTTCATTGATGGTTTTTGCCATTATCGTTTGGTTCTTTCTTCTTTTCACCGGCTGTTTTTGTTTGCTTCCTCTTCGTTTTGGTCCGTGTGCGGTGCTCTGCTCTGGCCCTTCATCATGGTACTTTTAGAATCACTGGCCGTGTGCTCTGGTCAATCAATACAGTAAAAAATGCAATCGAGCAATAATTTTCTCTTCCTTGGTTCTGAAGGGCCACAGCACCAGCAATCTGCGATTGGAAAGTACAGCAATATGGCCCTGATGGCATGTCTAAATCCGCTAATGACGCCAAAAAAAAGAAAGGAAAAAGACCAAGAAAATATCATTGAGTAGGCCTAAGGGATAAAGGCCAAAGCTCACCAAGGTGACTTCAACTTGCTGTACCAATTCATCCCTCCGTCTCTTCTTTTTTCCAATCAAGTTGAATAGTCCAGAGTAGACATCGAGAGATCATTGAGATTCAATGTATGAGATTCAATCTATTTACAACATGGCCCTGTACACACCCTCGCATGATGAACATCTTTGAGGCCTCACTAGAAATTTAACAGAAAATTTGTTTGTTGGACATATGCCACCCTAGAAAAGGCAATGAAAGGGTACCCAAAAAAAAAATCACTCTTTGAATTTATCTAGAATTATAACACAAGTGTATTTCAATTCCTTATGCTTCTGGTGCTGATATCAGCACAGAGTTCAAACAAATAAGATCTAGTTCCCATATAGCCCCCCCCCAACAAAAAAAAAAAAACAAAAAAGAGTAAGAAAACTTGAGCTAATTGATCATATCATAGCCTACATGGAGTCTCAACGATGGTCTCCAGAGCTGGCCTCCAAGACCTCTGCTTTGAGTACCTCTCAATTGGTTCAACAACATCATCTCTATCTGAACCCTCCATATTCTTAGCCTCAGACGGGAAGATGCAGAATTCACTGAACGCGGGGAAGATCTTGCTCAGGTTGTTGAAGCTCCCATGCTTGAGAGCCTTGGAGGCTCTGTAGGTGAGGGCACTCATCTCTTCATAGGTGAGGACAGAGTAGAGGAGCTCCATGGGGAGGAGGAAGTAGAAGCGGCGAAGCTCGAGCTCCTCGTCGGCCGAGAGGCCGTGGATCCGGTGGCCAACCCGTAGGGTGGAGGAGTTGCAGAGGAATTGGCCCGGGTTCTCAAGCATGAGCTCGGCCGCTCTGACGTGCCTCGTGTAGATTTGTATTCTGCCATCAGAGGACAAAACTTTCGCCACCGATGACCCACTTATGAGGATGGATGGAGCACAGGAAGTTGCATTCCCCATGAATGAATTTGTGTGTGTAGAGTCTTGAAAGAGAGAGAGTGAAAAGGGTCAATGCTGGTTCTTGTACATGGAAGTGAGTGAATGGGTTGAGGAAGGTGATGGGTTTTATTGGGTTGACACAGGGGGACTCTCAAATCACAGATGAACTCAAGCGTGAATGAGTGATCGGAGTTGGTTGAGATAGAGACAACAAAGGGAGGAAGGTCAGTTGTCAGTTAGCTGCAGCTATCTTTATTCATCTATATTAATTATTATAGAAAGAAGAAAATAACAATAACATCAGAAGGCAGGATTGTGGATTTGGCCATGCAGCATGTATCCTTCAGGAGAAGAAGACAGCTATAGAGTCTTTTTGTAAGGATTTGAACCGATTCACTAAATGGAATCCTCTTGTCGATTTTCATCAACAAGAGATAATAGCATAGGCTTATTTCGACGAAGTGGCGGCGTGCGAAATGAAAGCGAGATGTTACTAGGTTAGAAAAGGCCGTCCATGTTCTTCATGATCGGTGTAGTTGAAATAGTGAATGGGAATGTGAGTAATTTTGCTTGTCTTTACCAAATGCAACGTAGTTTTAGTGAATTTTCCGTGGGTTTTTTTTTTATCTTAATGGTTTTGTTTATGTTTGTTTAAGAAGGTGAGCACATGGTGTGGGGATGGGGCAAGAGTTAGGCCCTTGCAGTAGACTCACTTAAGGACAACACCAACCCAATGATTGGACATGGGAAGCAATTTCTCCAATAATATTCCAGTGACCTAACTCCATTAACTTAATAACATTTGATAGACAGACAATCAAATATGCAACCATCCCCCTATAGAGAGAGAGAGAGATCTGTAATATGTTTTTGCAGGGGAATGTCTGTACAGGCAATACTATTGTACTGACAATGACAAATATGAGGTTTTGCGAGGTTTGTGGTCACTATCAAAATGCTAGCTTGCAAATATTCCATGACCCACCTTATTTAACTTATTAAACAATCTATTGCCTAATTATGAACTAACCTCCTATAGCAACAGTCAATTTCATCAATTGTAGGAGGTCCCCACTAAGTTTTCTTTTGATTATGGAGACACCCCCTTTTCCAGATTCTCCAACTGAGCCATTTTTTAAGAGAAAATTAATCTAACATATTATTCGCGAAATTACAATGAAAAGTTCAAGAAAGCATGCACTGTCGAAGTCTTAGTACCAAGTAGACATTACAGGAAGGCGGGCGTGATGGCCAAGTGAAATTCTGGTGGATTTTGTTCCAAGCAAGAGACCTGAATGGTGGTTGGGTTGTCACTAAAAGTCTTGACAAAGCCTCATCAAGCATCAGAACAAGACGATGTTCACAAGATACGAATCAGTTTTTTACAAACAGTTCGCAATGCCAGTTCATATCAGTACTCTTCACACCAAAAAAGATCTCTCATCTGATCTTCAAGAGAGACACCAAGCACAAGGCTGTGTCATTGGGTCGGGAGGATACCGAACAACTGTACAATCCAATCCACACATGAACGAGCACATACACAAAATAATTCAATCATCAATCTTGTTCTTTAGAACCCTGGACATAACCTATGCATACCATGTGTTTTGTCCAAAGTTTCTAAGAAAAAAGTAGCCATTCTATAACTATACCGAAAGTTCGATAAATGGAATAGTTAAACCCTCATTATGCAAATAAGACTTGTCTTTTACTCGGTTAGAATCATGCATAGGATCATCTAGGAAATCCGTAATCTTGTCCACTAAGCTCGATTACTTTGATTCTGTTTTTCGTCTTTAGGCAAAGGGAAATTCCTATTTCCTACATTTGCGAGCCATTGAAAGCATTATACAATTCGACAGAATCATGCTCGCTATTTAGCCGTGTTAAACTCAAGCATGACATATGAAAAAACTCGAAAAAAAAAAAAACAACACAACTTTAATCTTTTCTCTGGAAAGCTCTCACGGCAGGGATGCAGAAAAAGAAAATTCAAGTTTTTCCACTAACGATACACCAGCGAAATGTGTTACAAAATTAGAATTGGAAGGTAAACGAAAAGTCCACAACGAATAGAAATCATGGCGTCAACATTCAAGGAAAAAGTGTAAAAAATAGCACTACAACTGCAGTATCATCTTAAACAAAAACTAGTCGCAATAAGATGAAAAAATATAGTAGCATAACAATTTAACAATGAAAAAATCACTTTCAGCACATTTGAATAATACATCCAGCAACAAACTCCCTACCCAATCAGTTTTCAGAGCAAGAGCTTTTCTTTACATTATTTTGAAAAACAAATGAGAAACAAACTCTTCCAATAGTGAACTGCACTGCTAACCAGCTTCAGGTCAAACTGCTTGGTCGATTGAATTTGGGAAAAATGTTATACAGTCCTCTCTTCATGTTAAATCTGCCATGATACAGGTAAGCTTCATATAGCACCAGGTCAGAAAATACAACCAATACTAGGATTTCAACGTGTTCAACTGGTGTAATCATGGTGCTGTGTATGTGTGTGTGTGTGTGTGTGTGTGTGTGAGAGAGAGAGAGAGAGAGAGAGAGAGAGAGAGAGTTTCCTTGAGCAAGAAAAAGATCATACTTAGTAAGCACATGGAGATTTCGTACTTCTGTACTTAATCTCTAGAAAGTTGTTGGACCCCAGATTCATCTAAGATTAATCATCACAAAAGGATTGCTATCTCCAACTTTTCTTTTGCCTAAGTCTCTTGAAGGCCATGAACGTAACTGCGGCAGACAGAGAATACCTGCTCCAAGGAGGTAACATGTCAGAGAAATGATCTATCTGGATTCAAGAACATCGTGCCTTCATTTTCTCTAGACCAACACGGCTGCTCCCATATTTCAACAACATATAGAATAATAAAAATAAAAAAATCAGTTTTATAGGACCTGTAATGTCTCAGAGAAGAGCTTTAAAATGTTCCTTTTGCATCCAAGAAAATTGAATATGTCCATCTACGATTCCAATATAACCTTACATCCTTTCTCACAGATTGAACTGGTAAGGGAAACTATTGATACGATACTGACAGAAGTTAAATGGCATCAGACATTACAACCATTTCAAACACTAGACTTCCATTAGCCTTAATTAACATGGAGTCTTCAACAAAGAAAAAGCAGAAAAGATCCAATAAAGGGGAAATGCATGGTATTGGGTACGAAAATAACATGGTAACAGCATCGCGGCTACTTCAAACAACACTAACGGCAGAAGGAAAGAAGGGTCATTTTTAAAGAGAAGGGAGACAGAGAGCATCAAGTAAAATTGACAGAAAGAAGAAAGAAACTGACTCTCATGAACATTTGCAGTGAATAAGGAGCAAAGTTTTCTTTAAAAAGTTAAAGACCCACTTTTCAAGAGACTTCAGAAAAAAAGAATCATCTTGAAGAGATTGCAAGAGTAATTACGTAAAATGGCTATTTTCAAATGCCAAAAGCTGCTATGAGCATACCATGTCAAAGTATAATTTAGGTGGTCCTGTGGCATCACTGAACTGCGAATCAAGGTGTTGACATCCTTTGGTACAGGATACGGATTGCTTGGATTCACCATTTCATTAATATCTTCGATGTAGAGAGTATCAGCAGGGAGCTTAGAAGTATGAGCAATGGCCGCAGTGTCAACATAAAACCACTGGGAAGACGCTGGATCGTTTGCAGGAACAAAAATACTGGGCTTCTCGCTCCCGCGAATGACTCCTAGAACCTCTACCGATGCAACAGTAGCAACATGTTCCTGTAAGCTGAGAGAAATTAGATACATCTCTTAAAATCATCTATCTCACAGGAGCAAGGCATCAAGCATCGAGGCATGTAAGACAACCTCAACATTTTTAGGCTTCTTAGACCAGAGTTTCCACCAAGATTTTTCTTCACTCTTTTGCACAGAGGTTTCTGATGCATCTGTAGGCTTTCCAGCATCATCCAAAGTTCCAAGGAACTTGTCTCTCCAACTTCGGGGTACCCATCCTCTATTAACCAGAACTGGAAACTTTACACTGATAAGGAAATGATAATAAACCTCGTTAAAAAGGGCCAAAAGCACGCTGTCCATATCATCATCTTTTTATTAAAAAGATCTTACACATCAAGAAAAGACCAAGTCTTCAAATTCAATTCAAGAAACGAAATGAAACGCTACAGCCAAAATTTTCATTCATAATGCCTAAAGCACGAGTGAGTTAAAGAAATTGTTGGAAGTATCTGCAACCTATTGTCCCTTAATGACAATTCCTCTCTAAGTGTCACAGTGAGACCCAGGTCATAAGAAATTGAGATAATACATAACAAGATAAATATATTAAACAAAAAACAGTCAAATATAACAGACTACATCAATCCAACTTCTAAAAAACTCGAATTATTTATAAAAGCTTAGGGCTTGGCATCAGAAGTCCATTAATCAACAGGAATAGCTAGGCGCAAATGGACTAGCCAAGGAGATTGAGAATGTTAGTCAAGGTCAAGCCCCAATCAGAGCCATTCAGTCTATCACTACAAAGCATGAAACAGCACGATCAATGATCATTTAATGTTATATCCACCATGAGGCAAATAGCATTATCAAGCAATGAACTCGTCATGAAACTACCTGAAAAACAAGCAGCTCAAATGCTAGCAAAAATTAAGATCTGAAAACACAACAGTAATGAGCATTTGAGTTTGGAGAGAAACAAATACCAATGAACCAAATTTCTATAACAGTCACAATTCACATATCCTTAAGGATGAGAACAAGAATGATTACCTTTCGGGGTCATCTGAAATTTGCATAAGGGGAGTGATTAGATAGTACCCATTCTCGGTCACTCCCGAAATGCTTCGGGAACGTGGTCCCACAAATATTGATCTTTTGTCATCAAAAACTCCTTTGCCGAAAACCCTCCTAAACTCCAAAGATTGCAGGTCCTTGTTGCTAGGAGATACGTCCTTAAGTTTCATAGGTTCCATATCCAATCTCCTCTGTCTATATTCCAGCATGTTAATCTGTAAAAGTAAAGAATAAAAGATGATCGTAACTGAAGTGCCTTGACCACATGGGTGAATGTTCTAGTCCTGATTTCTTTAACACATACCGTTGTATTAAGTGCCTTACACTATGTTTGGAAGCGTGAGGAATGGAAAATGCAAACAAAATTCTCACAATTTTAAATATTTCCTCATCTTTATGCTCACAAAAAAATTAAAATTTTCTGCTTCAATTTCCTTTCTCCCCATTTCCCCCAATTTCCAAACAGAGTCATGGCGTACATACATAAAGCTACAACAACCAAGCCTTCACCGTTAGATATAGTCGTCTCAAAGAAACCATTTTGTTATTAGACTTGAGCTCAGTTCCGTGTAACTTGTAATCTTGTAATATCTGGACTATCAAAATCCTAACTTGGCCTGATTAGGAAGACCATTTCTTCATATGACTAACGTTTTACAAGTGGTCCCAAAAGGGCCAACACAACGATTTGGTGTTCATCTTTCTCGCACAATTCCACAGAAACCCCCGCCAAAGCTTTCTCATTTATTCAACTGATAATGCAAACAACTGAAGCGAACCAGCAATGCAATTCCCCACAAACTGATGAAAGCTAGTAGTGCCTAGTACTAGCTGCATTAGCTTGAGACAGAAACCATCCGAAACGAAGATAAACAGAGCAAAACAAGAATCGCTCAGTGGAAAGAAGAGAGTTTGACCTTGTCCCGTCTCCTGAAAATCTGCCAAGTCCCAAGGCCAAACGCCATAGCTCCCGGAACGAAAAGCAGCCAGTTGGACCACCTCGACCCATTCTCTTTACCTACGACAAGCGCGCATCCGCCACAAAACCAAGCAAACAAAATCACATCGCACACGCAGCAATCGCAGATCGAAAGCCGAAGAGCAAGGACCCGCACGCACGCACGCCCACGTAACTAAAACCACGCACCTCGAGCCTGAGAAGCAGAGTCGGCAACGGCGGAGGAGGAGGCGAAGAAGCGAGACGGCGGCGGCGGCGATCGGAGGACGGAGTGCTGGCAGCGGAGAGAAGGGGCGGCGGCGGCGGAGGCGGCTCCTCCGCGGCGGAGCTTGCTCGCGAGAGCTCTGGAAATGGAGGAAGACGGCGCCCCCATTTCGAGCTTCTCATCCGAGACCGACCAAATTCATTGGCCTCCGATGGACCTCGACTTGCTGCACACACCTTAAATTCTCCGACGCAAGAACGTTCAACGTTGTTTTGTGGGGGCATACGGAAGAAGGAGGTGGGGTTTTGGAGGGGGTTTTCGATGGACTCCATAGCCGTTTTGCTCGAGCCCACTTTCCAAGAACAGCCCACCACGACCCATCATGGAGCTTCGCAGTCCGATCAAGAAAAAGCCCATCTTGCGAACGCCAGCAAACACGAGAAACTAGGGTTTCCCCCTCTCTCCCTCTCTCTCTCTCTCTCCCATCTCCCTGCAGCTATATATACCATGGCATTGCAGCTCCTTTTCGTGCTCTGTTCTCCCGTGAAGCTGGGTTTCACGCTCGATACCTTCGTCTGCGATCTTCCTACCTTTTACGAAACTTTTGTTTCTTCTTTGTATCTCTGATTTCTTGTCTTTGTGACTGTGAGAACTTCCCTTTCACGAAACTTTTGTTTCTTCTTTGTATCTGTTGTCTCTCGTCTCCGTGACTGTGAGAAGGCAATCAGTATGCGTCACTGATGCGCTTTGCGGGATGCAAGTAGCGCCATCAGCCCTTTTCGTTGCCGACAGCAACGGGCACACCGGCGAGCAGATTATGCTTGCGGCTGCCGTCGCCCCGTACGGCTCTCCGCATTCACTCGCTCGTAAATTTCCGCCGCCGCCGTCGTCGTTCTTGAGGCTGATGAGTCTCAAGCTGATCATCTAACAGTGTCTCATTCTTATAAAGACTGCCCATTTTTTTGGAATTTCCAATACTTCATGTCCCTCGCAAATCCTAGCTTCGCCGCCGCCGCCGCCGCGACTGTAGACACGGCGGCGGTGATGGCCGTGGACCGGGTTTGGGGAGCTGGGCCTGAACGCTATCCGAACTCTCTTAAAAATGAAAACTTTTTAATCATGGACTTTTTGGTTACTCATTAAATAACTGGAAATGAAAAAAAAAAATGAAATTGTGGGACGTTTTGGTTACTCAATTCAAATACCCCACTTCAAGTGGTCGGGCTGAGCACAGATCAGAAAATCACAATCTAACTTATTTTATTTGAAAATAATTTGCAGTGAAAATTGATGAATATATAATCTAGCAAATGAAGTTGAAACTCAATGCAGCAAAAGTGATAAGTATGACATATAAATAAAAATTGACCCAAGTCACCAAATTTAAAACCAGGAAAAACCTAATGCTCCTGAAGTGCTGCAATTAGTGAGACCACAAAGTTGGCAACAAATGTTCCAATTTTGTTAGGGTTGTAGTGATCAGGCGAGTGAGCTGCTTGGTGCAGATTCTGCAAAACGAAAAACTAAAAAAATAAATAAGAACCCAATTATCAATTAAATAAGATCTGTAAAGTATGAAATTTTGAGACAAGCGGTTAAGTGCCCCAGTTTATTTTGAGTTAGTATTATTTCACTTGGGGAACATATATATATCATTTCACTTCTATAAATAGACGTCATATGCATGTGGGTTCTTACTGTTTTTTCATCGTTAAACACGTGAATATGATCATGACTATGTGCCAAATGAAAGTTATTATACGTCAGGTGACAATCTTTTTATGTATCTTTTTTTCACAAACGAACTTGAGTTAAGTTGAGACCCACCTCCATCACTGTTAGAAATAGATTTAAGACGCTAACGAAACGTCAATTGTCCACTAGAGCAAGCATATCTATATCATGGGCCGACACTTCCTCGCAATCCCACGGTACTTAAGACCTTTTTTTTGACTGCTTCACCCCTTATTTATATCGCCTAGCTTAGCCTTTCTAGAGTCACTTACTTTGGCCTAGAAAGAGGATTCTACAAAGAGATATGCTTTGAAGAGAACGTCTTGTAATGCTCTTGCGGTGGAGTTGGATAAAATAAGGATGAGAGAACCCTTATATATACATAAACCTCTCAAATCACAACCGTAGCTCTCTCCTCAATTTAAGGCTACCAACTACCTATAATATAAGTATACAATTCTCATATTGCCCCTAATAATACTCTAGAACGCTCTTGAAAACCCTATACCCTTCAGAAGCTTCAAGGCATCCTTGGTCGTCGCGACCACCTTCTCGACCCTTTGAGCCTCGAAAAACCTCTCTTCCCCGCTCAATTGGGCGACGTCCTTGGCGCTCTCATTTCGGGAAGTCTTCGCTCGCCCGATCAAATCATTGCCTTGGCTCTTCAGTCCCTACGGAAATTGGCGGCTCTTCATCTCTCGTACCATTTAATCTTTCCCTTATTGACTTCACGGTTGCACAGTTCTCTGACACCAACTTGATCCTCAAGCAATTCCTCCCTTGGTTTGTCCATCTCCATGCTGTCCGGCAATTCTCCCACTTCCGAAAAAGCACATGAATCAGCATGCTCTCGTGAGTTGGCTATGACGGCACCATCTCCACCATTGGCCCCTCTGAAGGTTGTAGCCATATGGAAGACAAGTTTTAACTCCTGCCAATAGAAAAGGATAGCTCATAGTCAATTGCACACAATAGGTACCCTCAAAACAATGAACCAGTGGTACATTTTCAAATATTGGACGGCTCAAAGATTCTTCTTCCTGAGTTCATGATAAACAAAGATATAAGCTTGAATCTATCCTCTTTATCTGAGGAAATATGTTGAATCCTCACTACTAAAACCTCTGAAAAATATCAGTTCTTATCAGTGCCCAACATTCCCCATGTGGAACAGCAAAAAGCAGTTCCGTCATCTAAACAAAGAATACCAATGGCCATCCTTCTAAATTTGCATCTCTTAACAGGGAAAATGGGAGAAACAGGTTCCTAAATTTGCATCTCTTCTAGATTGCCAGCACTGCTTTACAGAACATTGCGCAAAAGAAAAATATATCAAGAATTAAGTCGACCTTCATCTGTTCAGTTTCCCTAATTAGCATAGACTTTGAAAGGTTAGCCACTTCTAATACCTGTCACATTAGCAACTTCCGATTCAACATTCCCTGTCCCTAATGAACAGGAAGGATACGATTACCTTATATTTAAACAAACAAAATGATGGCTCATAGATTCTCATTAAGAAGTTCAAGTGCAACAGAGGAATGAATCTGCAACTTATGTACTCATTTCCCTTCTCATTTATGTCATATCAAAAGAGTACTCACCAATCAAACATCAGAAAAAGCAAATATAAACAGTATCTCATATTCCATATTGCGGAAACGATGATGGAATGCAAGAATTTTAGAATCTTCAACAGATTGACCAGTGACCATCTTTGGTTCATCTCTCCTCATTACTTTTAATTTGAGCCGCAAACTATGCTATGGCCTTAGCTTCCTGATGTTAAAGTTAACACTTGAAATTACCAACAGGGGAAAACAAGTTTCCAGACCAAGGACTTCGTAAACTTCCCAACCTCTTATTCCTTGTGTCATGGTAGCGAGCTAGTTCCTAGTCTTTTGCTAGCATGTGCAACTATAACCTGTCAACTATGGCCTCTAATTCCTGAAATGTCGCAGAGCATTCTATTTTGAGAAAATACATATCAAAATGAATAACATATCACAACTCAATTAAACATATTACATCCTAGCATCTTTTAATCTTTAAACGACATGATTTCTACCTAATTGCATTGTTCCCATCCTGTATATAAAGCTTGTTTGGCTTTGCTTCCTTTGTTCTATAGAACCACCAATTTGGCTTGCAATGTTTCTAATGAAAATTGAGCAAATGAAAATGCAAGAATAAAAAATTTCATGCCCACAACAATTGTAAGCAGATAAAGATACCTTCATTTCTTTTGGTTAAACTTAGATTGACCAGCACAAATTCAATAGTTAGCACAGATGTAGAATAAAAGATTAGCAAGACAATTAATAACGATAACTATAGTCGTCAACAGTTTAAGTCAAAATAATCATGGCAGCATCTCTGTTGAAGCAAAGAACATCCAAGTCCTCGTAATTTATTCCAAACAGTGAAACCAAGCAGATTGACATATTTGCAACAGGTCAAGTCAAAATAATCATGAAACCTCTCTCTTTTCTGAAAATAGAACAATCAGAACATGGTGGATCATCTGCAAATAGATCCAATGAAGCTAGAAAGCAATACATAAAGAATTGACTATGCGATGAAACAATATCAGTCATTCATCCCTCAAGATGATTTTTGTGTAGTAGCTGATTTGACACCGGCATTTGTCATCCCTTAGAGGCTTTACCGAGACTAAAGCATTTAACTTTGTAGTATCTAAACGGTTAAAAGTATATGCATCTTATGGAATGTTCACTTCTATTGTGACTCGAAGAGACAATTTACGTCCAACTTCTTTCCTATCTGCTTGTCCTGCTTAGTTCTTTCTTGAGTTTTAATTTATTGAAGACAATAAAAAAGAACAATTGATGATTTTAGTTTCTTTTCTTCTTTGCTGTATTCAGCTGACCAAGACATAGAAAAAAGCAATTACTTGCAAGTCACTACAGAAATCTTTACAAATAATTTTTACGAATATGCTTCTTAACCTATGAGCTCGACCAGTGGAGACAAGCATAATGAGCAAGGTTTAATTATCGCAAAACTAGGAAAAAAAGTATCATAATTAGAAAATATATTTAACCTGAAAATCAAAGGCTTACTCCGTTGGGACCACCTGTCAAATGTAATTGCATATCTTTCTACAGATTAAAAGAACTATAAAAAAAATTTCATCGATGACTGCTGTTCCAGTGAGTTCCATGATTTTATCCCTTTAAGATATATTTGATTCCTTAATTCAGCAACCCAATTCGAAAGCACATGACAGAGCAATTATAATAGGTGGAATCTCCTTAAACCCACTACCTCCCCAGTATCCTTTGTTGTTCCATATCTCTCTCCTATGCGGTCCCATGGCCATGAGCTTAAACACATCAAAACAAGTAGGTGTGCCTTGCGAAACAAAAGAATATCAAGTGATCCAGTGACACTTCATTTTTCATATTTCAGCCAGTGACACAACAAAAAATTTCATGCCGTCGTCTTCGCATCATGCATTTTCCTAAGAACTAGCGATAAGTGTCCAGCATTAGAGTCGACTGACGTCACAAGCACTTGAGAAGGGAACAAGTTATACTACTTATTTTAGACAGAATCGGTCTTAGTTAAAAACAAAATGCCGACAAGCTTCCTAAAAGAGAAATAAACTCATTTGGTTTTCAGGTTCATCAGCTTATAGATGATTCGATCTTTCTTCAACTGGTTAATGTTGTCGGCATGGACCAACATATATTCGTTCTTTTGCCTGCCTGCTTTGTGATTGATGGACCTCATAGCTTTCCATCTGCAACCAATGCCACTTAGGAACACTTAAATATTGTGAGTGTACAGGAGTGCGTGAGGCAGAAACAGATGGACAAAATTGTCGGTCACCAATGGCTCATGTACTAGTAAATACACTACTTATCACCCAATGAAACTTCATCTCTTATATTTCAATTCCCCTTCAGCAGACAACAAACAAGACAAATAATATTATACAGCATGAACGTTCACAAGGTTCATAACAAGGAAAATGTACCTTAGCTAAATCTCAAGGAGCATTATCATCAAAGAGAACTTTGTAAAATCGTCGTCTTTCTTCTGGGTCAAACAAACTACCTAGTCCGTCTCCTTGATCCTGTTCAGGAACTTCATCACTTTTCTCCTTCCTTTTCTCTAATCTATCTACATGCATCCCAATTCTCCTTTTCTTCTCCAAATTTGCTAAATAATGCCTTCGATTGAACTCATGAAGGCCCTCTTGCATTAATTCTCCGAACTTCTCCTTCACAATAACCAGAGGATCCTTTTCAACCAATTCTGATCCATTATATCCTTCTCTGAGAAGAACAGTATATATTTGATATTTGTTTGAAACATAGAAAATACCAGGGTGCTTCAGCAGCAAAATATTCAATTTCTCTGGTAAAGAAAACTCTCTCCTAAAATGACCAAGTTTCAAGATTGATGCCTTCTTCCACAAGGTCAATGCTAGAATCTCATGGACCAAACCCACTGTCCTCTTCTCCATTTCCTTGGATCCCTCTATTAAACCTCTAGGATCCACATAAGGCGAAATGTAAGGAGTAGCATTAAATTCATGAAACCTCTCCCATGATTTAGCCCAGGTTGAAGGCAATGAACATGAAAAACATGGCTCAGAACCATGCCTGCGAGCTGAGGCTTCAATTGCAGAGACAGCTAAATCAGGGTCCCATGATATAAGCTCGAGCTCCATAGAACTCTTTCTCCCACAATGATTTACAACCCGAAATATATCCCCATGCTTTGCAACAATCCTAAGCATGTAATCATATGGAAACCCAAAATTCCGTTTCAACTCATTGATTTTCATAACATTAAGCCTCTGATTTGTGCTCATCATCAACAATTTTGCCAACCGTTCCACGAAAACTCGTTCTTGCATATTTTTCACTGACTCTTCCTCGTCCACTAGATACATCATCCGTTTTGATAAATGACAATAATATTCATCACCCTTTAGATAAACTTCAAAGCAACAAGGATACTTTTTTAGCCAGTTTAGAGCTTTCCCTTGAAGATCAAGAGTTTTAAACTTCTTCTGGAGAAATTTGACAGGTGCCACCTGGCCAGGGCATGCGAGGATTATGTTCTTGATCTGATTGTTGACAACCCATCGACGGTTTCGTGAGAGAGCCGCTTCAAGATCTGGATCCTTCTTCATTGACCAAAGAGCCATGTGTCTAACCACATGTAGAAAGGATGCTGGAAGATACAGTCCATTATTGCTATGATTTACACCACGGAATACGATGGAGATCACCATTTTCACCTCATTTCCAATGTTTTCGTATGGTAGCCCAGAAACCAGTACATATCCTAATACCATACCAGATAGTCAACAAACAAATAAAGGGAATTTATAGAGCGCAAAATTCTTATGGATGTCATACAATAAAAGCCTAGACAAGTAGATTATAGTCCCTAAATTTTTCCTAGTTAATTCACAAGTAAAAAGATAATTACCAATGGCATACCAAAGCGGTACCAAGATGTACCTACAGGTTAAATTTTCCAACCCCTACCTATAGCCAAAACTAGTCTCTAAAAGAATAGTCTTCAATGGAAACACCGTAATGGTATTCAGGAATGGCACCACCCCGTCCCGGAACAATCTCAAACTCGTCCCAAACCCCATTAAGTTTTCAGATGCAATCTCCAAAACCGACCTACTTAAGTTGTCGAGAAACACGACAAACCCGAACCCGCCCAATTGCAATGTTATTTTTTTTTTCTTTTCAAGATCAAACACAAACCATTGCAAGAGAGCAAATCCACCCACTTTTGCATTCTCTAAAATTTCTCTAAACAAAAGATGAAAACGGCGTCTGTGTTGACTTGCAGTAGTTCCCAAATTATCAAAGTTAAAAAGGACATTGGATATTCTAAACTAGCAAGTCATCAGAATCACTAGAGAAGTAAGGTGAAGAAGATCTCAAACCAATTAAATATAAATGAAAATACCGATTTCTTTACGCCAATATCCACATAGATGAAGAGTGTTAACAATTGAGTTACTGCAAACTCATTAGACTTTGCTCTGTGCTTTTGAGCTTGTGGGATGCTTCCACCAATACCGCCATGCATCTTCAAAGATCCACATTTGTGTCACTTGTAACTTTCCAAAATTGCCCTTGCAATATAATATCCCCTCATTGAGAAACCACTCAATTTTGTTTTTATACATAACGTCCCTAATTACAGACTTATTTTCTATGCATAAGCAGCACATGCACACATGTGCCTAAGCTCTAGCCATAACTAACTCAGGATTCAAAAAGATATAATGTACAATGGGTTGAAGACAGCTCGAAGAGATGTCAGACTGGCTTGATAAAGTGGAGAGAGAAGCTTTCCCAAACAACATGGATTGCGAGAATGAGGATGTTAACATACAAAGGCAACCGGAGATCATATCAAAGATGGATGGATCGTGGTTGCAAGAGGAAATGCATTGGCACTAAATAGCTCGAGTTCACAGGATCAATTGTGGGGATACACTTCAAATTACTTCCATCAAACAACTCCGATGAGGAAGAAGTATAAACAAAGTGCTACAATTAAAGAACAAGGAGAGTAAACGGCTCAGTAGCGAGGATGAGATCGTTGCCGCTTTCAATAGCATTATCAGAAACCTTTTAAGTCTAATAAGAGTATAAGCTATAGTGGAACATTTTCGAAGGAAAGTGACAGCCGAGACGAACAAATCTTGAGGCTGAGGTTCCGATAGAAGAGATTCAGCTAGTAACATTTCCAATGCATGCTCTAAAGGCTCCAGGGCTAGATGGGTTTCTCTGGAATCTCTTGCCAGAACTCTTGGGATGCAGCAGGGCCAAAGATCACTCAAGCAATCCAGACTACCTCCTCCTGCTACCAATACCGACACAGTTCTTGTACCCAAAGTCCCCCATCCTAAATCAGTTTCTAATTTCAATCCTATTACTTTGTGCAACTATCTCTACAAAGTAATGTCCAAAATCCTTGTTAAAACAGTTCAACCTTTTCAAAATGAGATGATGATCACGGAGAGCCAAAGTGCTTTCAATTCGGAAAGGCAATGATCCATAAAAACACATTAAGAACACAACATTGTCCCACCGCAACTCGGACCTAATGCCGTGTCCGGAACCAGCAGAATAATATGTTCGACCATTCGAACTCACCGGCAGGCGTCGCTCGCGGTCGCGGCGGAAACGGAGCGGATCGGCGCGGATCCGGCGCAAGGGGAACGACGACGAGACGGACGAGCAGGGCACGGCGGGGCGAAGACGGCCGGCGGCGGAGGACGGAGGAGGAGACGATTCACGGAGGAGTGAGGAGGAGCAAGGGAGGCGGAGTGATATGGGCAGAGGACCAGAGGAAGAGGAGAGTATTATTGTTTTGGTAGCCCGGGGTTGAATTATGTAAAATTACAATAGTAAATAAGGGTATTTTCGAGAAAAAGAAAAAGAAAGACATTTTAAAGCTCCGTTTGTTTCACAGAAAATGAATAATTTAAAAAATATTTTCTAAAAAATAATCGTTTATATTATCATAAAAATGAATGAATGAATGAAATTTTTTTCATTGTTCACGAAAATATTTAGACATGAATTATTATTTATAATGAAAATATTTTTTATTGACTAATTATTTCAAATAATACAATCGATCGTTTGTAGGAAAATATTTTTCAAATATTCATTCACCATGAAACAAACGAAGCTTAAATAATTTAGCTATGTCAGTTTCGGATTTCTATGCTATTATATCCTAAACTCAAGGTTTTTTATATAATTATCCCGAATATGTCTCGTTTCCCGATATATTAGGATTTGAGCGTATCGACTAACCGATTAGACCTGCCCCTTTAGTCCCCTAGTATAGAAATTGTATCACAAGGGAAGTGACTTCTTTGTGGAACGATTTAGGCTAGACCATTCACAGGCATGATGAATTTGAGAACATCGGATGAATTTGAGTTGTTCTAACCTTTTCTTTTGATTTTCTTTGTATTTTTTTTCAATAACTAGTCTCAGTTCATTCGCTGCACAAAAATATTATGTAACCTAATCTACACATGCTGTCAAACAGCACAAATTGTACGAAAATTTGTTTTACTTGAAAAGAATAAATTAAAAAAAGTTCAAGCTCTTTGATATACAGAAGAAAGAGTTTTAGGTTGCATTTGGTACGATGAAATGGAATGGCATGGAACATAATGAAGAACATAATGAAATTTGAATGAAATGACAATTTCAATTTTCTTGTTTGGTTGTTGGGAAAATGTCAAGGCAATCGAATCAAAATTCTTTTGTTTGGTCTCACATATTTGTAATGGAAGTAGGATTCAATTTATGATTTTCACTCTAGTTGCATTTAGTTAAAAATTATAAGCTTATCATACCACATTATAACTGCATGCGAATTGTAAGATAATGTACCAAATACATTTTCGAATTAAGTTCTGAACTCTAAATCATATGCGGTTGATCCAATTATATATCAGAAAAGTGTATGATTATCAAAACAATATTAAGACAGTACAATCAACAGGACCATCTAATACACGAAAAATCCCAACAGAAGCTCCTGATATCGGCCAGTCCTTGATCATAAGGCCAATGGTAAAAATTCTGTAAAGCACAATACATGACCCAACGGGGAATCCTTCAATGAATTGATAAGAACTGGGGCAGTGTCAATAACATGATTGAGGCAGATTCAACCGAATGAAAATGGACATGTACCTCTGATGCCCACTCGAAACTTGAAAAAACTACCTACAAACATTACAATCCCGTTCACCAGCCTGACTGCCGAGTTACACGCAACCCGGCAGGCAAAGAATACACACTAGAACACGATGCCCGACTCGGGACCCCCGAATGATATTAGTCTAGAAGATTCTCAGCATAATCCGCGCTCTCAGACCCGAAAAGGCTGGAGAATAATCACCTCATCCTAGGGCTGCAAAACTTTTTGGTCAAGAAGGTTTTATTACCGATCCTTCTGGTTCCCGACCATGTATACTTATCAAGTCTCTAACATGAACAAGTATCAAGTCATAGATGTCTCTGGCTGATGGACGATCAGCTGGGTTTTTCACTGTACACCGGCGGAACAAATCGACAAGAAATCTTAATGCTTCATGCTCCACCTCTGGCCCCTCCGACTTTGAGCCAGATCCCATAGTTGTATGGTCATTCAATGATACTATCGAGTCCATCTTATCTGTTAGCTTCGGCCGTTCTCCCCCCTGCTTATTTATAACATTCAAGAAAAAGGTATTGAGCCTTTATTCAAGACCAAAAGCAATATCGCATAATACTTGTCATGAAAATGATGATCGAAGACATGAATCTCCCTAATACTTTACCTGAATAAGGTCATGAATTAGTGGCTCAGATAAACCTGAATACGGCACTTGCAAAGTCAGCAATTCGAAAATCAGACAGCCATATGACCAAATATCCACTTCCTGCAGCCATTTAAGTCAGGCAATCAATCAGTAAGATTCACAAAAAATGCAAAAAGGCAGTATTCCGACAAAGTGCTTCGTAAACTAAAGACTTTACCAGCCCGTATGATTCCCGTTTATGCATTGTCTGAAGAACTTCCGGAGCCATCCAGCGAGGGGTTCCAACACAAGTATCGGGAGGATGTACTCCGATATGGGCTATACAACACGTATGTAAGGAAGATCGAAGAGGGACTGCTCTATCAAAATCACAAAGCTTCACGACAGGCGTTCCATCAGCCCTTCTTGCATCAAGATCAATCAAAATGTTTTCACTCTTTATGTCACGATGAATAATATGCTTTGAATGCAGCTCCACCAAGGCAGAAGCAACATCCCGAGCAATAAAAAGACCCATATTTATTGGGACATGCTTTTCACCAGATTTAGACAGCTTCTCCAGGTAATTCTGTCATAATAGACATGAAATTACTAAAAGGTGTATATAATAAGCAGAGGAAAGAAATTCTAAAAGCAAATTGATAGCAGTATGGAAAGAAAAGCACCTTCAGTGATCCCCCTTTCACATATTCCATGTAAATCGCAGAACGCCAAATACGACGCTCAGGATTTGCATCTGCAGGAGTGACCCGCTGAGAAGATATCTGATGCCCATACATTTCCACTATGCAAGCATGTTGTAGAGCACCCAATATTCTCACTTCGCCTAGACAACTATACTCAAATTTCCTAATTTCCTCAACTGAGTTACTACATACTTCCAAGGAACGTACCTGCAGAATCAACACAGAAATATTTACGCAGAAAACATGAGATGTAAAGCTGTGTTTGAGGAAATGTTCTCAGAATGCTTCTTTAAAACTTGTCAGGTTTGTGAAAAAGAATCACGTTTCTAATGAAAGCATTTCATTTTTGTGATTTTTACATTATTATGTTTGATTTCTAAAGGAGGCTTTACTCATTTTCACTTTTCGAAAATGAAAATTTGTCCAAAAGAATTTCTTAGCATTGCCAAACACATTGGCTGAAAAAGAAATCCTTCAATTCTCAAGAACCAAACAAGCCCAAAAGTAGCCTATTTGCTCGAAGTTGAAAATGACATAAAAACAGGCATTCACGATCAATAACAAAGTTTCTTGATCTAGTGATAAAAACTAACAGGCACTGACAGAAACCAAATAAAAAGATTCTTTATCTTAACATATATGATAAAAGACAATGCCACCACATATACTGCTCCAGCTAATTCAAGGGATTACCTTGGCTACAACATTGGCTGAAGCATTAGTGCAACGGACAATAGAGGTAGAAGCTGCTTTGCAAATTTCATCAGATGTAGATAGAGAAGGAAGAACACATCCAGACTTGGAAATGGCTTCCATTGAAAGAGAATCTCTAAACCTCCTCAGAGGAATATACCTACATAACAAGCTCATCCTTCAGAAACTCATCCAAATTATAAAACAAATTTGAAAACTATCAAAACAACAAGTATGTGAAACAATTGAGAGAATCTGAAAAAAAAAAACTGGAATTCTACTGCTATAGACTCCAACAAAAAGCACATAGAATAAGTGTCCAGTAAAAAACATGCACAGTTAAAACTGCTTTAACCTTTTGATCATTTTAGGAATGTAAAATTTGTAGCTTCTCTGTTGTGAATATTGTCCTCTTCTGCAGCTAATATAGATTCACTTCGAAGATAACACACTGAAACAATTTACATGCAGAATTCAGTAACAAAGCAATTTTTTTCTCCACCCATTGTTTAAGCTTCAGAAAAATTCTCAACTGTTAGCTTTGATGCTTTTTACTTTTCAGCATCCTTTTCTTTGCCACATTCCAAACTCAGCAAATGGCAGCAATTCGATGTGCCTCCACATAAAGGTTGTATTTCCCAGTTTCAATAGGGTAGGTGACCCCAAAGAAACAAGGTTATATATCGGGGACACAGTTCAATATAGTCTAACTCTAACACACCTTCACAGAACCCTCAAATGGCGCTCTCAACATTTACATTTTTCATTTATATGACATTTATTACCGGTTGACTACGATCACAATTTATTAGAGTATAGCACATGGCAAAGATGAGCAAGCACCAAAAATTTTTAATTTTACCCATGGCAAAAAACAACAGTGACCAACAACTATCTCGCCAAGAAAGTCTAAATGAACTGCAACGAAAAGTTCAGAAAGCCAAAACCATGCTTTCATTTTTAACTCAAAACCAAAGAACTTTCAATACATCCAAGATTCAAGCATCAAGATCAGGTATGAAAACTCTAATAAAAGAACAGCCTGACCATTACGTGAGAAGGGTGCACAGACCTGCAAGCATATTCTGGGTCTGTCTCTTCACGTATATCAAGAGGACGGCATGCATCAACCACCATACGGACATATAAGTCGCCCTTTTTTACCACAATGATATTCCAAGCATGCGGAGAAAAATCCAGGTAACCTCTAACAAGCTCACATGGCACAGGAGGCACCATTCGATCACATAGATACTGGGAAAAAAATGGTGAGTAGTCAGCTTACAATATTTCAATATAAACAAGAAAAACAAAATTACAGCAAACAGCCACCTTCATAAGAATTGCTCGATGTCTGCAAACACCAAACTTCAGAGTTCCTATAGGAACAATAACAGAACTTTGTCTTGCTTTGATAGACTGAAGAGATTTCTCACATAGATCACGCAATATAATATCCTGATTATCAAGCATTTGGTTGGCAGATGAATCAACATAATCATGATTTCCAGTTAAGCAGGTGCAAACGAAAGGCTTTCGATAGTTCGAACCAGATACAGCCTTTCGCGTCCTTTCTATAATTGCATTTCTGTCACACCCTCCAAAATGATCCGACACGAAAAGAGCAAGCAATGAAGATATTTGAAGTGTACAATCCTCCAGTTCCTGATCTTTAGGTAATCCATTTAATCTCTTGAAACGAATTACCAAAGCCTGCGCAGTGAGGGTAACTGCATCTAAAACTTCATCTCTGTCCCTGAAGAATGTCGCAATATTAGACCCAAAGTGAAAAGAATCTATCATGAACTTGCAGCAAAGTATCTCTAGACATAGAAAACAGAGGACAGAATCCAAACCTGTCAACAAGAATTACTTCACGTGAGTCAATAGATAAATTTCTCTCGTAACTACTGAGAGGCATAAAAGGTTGGTCACGTCCGGCATCATAAAAGCCATCCGGCAGGTAATCCTCAACACCACAGAAAGAGAAATCACAATACTGGCGGGATAGATTGAAACTCTCATCAGCTGGCCGGCGACACTTGCATGGTTTAGGGTTATCAAGATGCTGATCACAATACCTCTTACACTTGATACTGACCTCATGTTGATGTGCCAATGACTCAGCATCTTGCTCATCAGTAGAGGCATTTGACATGATCGTAACATCTCCTAGCTCTCTACTCGCAGAGTCAACGGCAACATTTGAGTGGTTCTCTACCTTTAATTCACTTTTTGAGCTAATGCCATCCTTATCTACACTGCTAAGCACATTTTCAGATGCAATTTCCCCAGAAATCAATACTTTATCTCCACCATCCGCACAGGTGATTTCTGATGCTGCATCTCTTGAAGCGTCATTGTTAGACAACTTGCACATGTCATCACCCTTTTTGGTCAACTCCTCCGAATATTTTTCACCTTTCCACTTCCTGCTGTTGTTTAAACGTTCTAGCCGAGCTTTTTGTTGCAAATAGTTCCTCCTTTTCCACCTCTTTGATGATTTCCGAGCCGAAAAACATCTAGCATTTGATGCTGACCCAGCCAATAAACTTGCCGAGGTATGGCAGGAGCCTACATAAAGTACAATCCTGTTCTTAGAAGCAAGCAGTAAAGCTGAAGAAAGCCACAGGGAATAAATGCAAAATTTACATGAAAAAGCTGAAGAAACTAGTTCTGCAGGCCTTACTGCTACAAGAGATTGCTCCTTCATCGTCTGGGGTGGATTCATATACTTCCATTTCAGCCAAAGAATTGGCATTATCATCATTGGACAACTCCTTCCCGTCTATATCACAGGATATCCATGAAGGTATTTGAAAACTGAGAAGCTTATTGTGCTTGAATAATAACAAAAATCAACAGAAAAGATACATGTTAATTCCTGTAGTTGAACATTCATCTACAAAAGTATCAAAGAGACAAACGAAAAGTAAAGATGTCAATTATACCACAGCCTAGCATGAAAAAAAGGTCTGGGTGTTAATCTAATATAGAAACAGAGCATCTTCATGCGATTATTTTATGAAAATGCACAAAATAAATCATCAGAAGACTGGTTTTCTAAGCACCTGAAGGTTTAAACTTCGCAGGCTATGCATGGAGTCAAGTTCGAGAGGGCCTATTGATGTCAACCTGTTATCTGAAAGGTCTAAAACTTCCAATCGCCGAAGAGAAGACAAACCAGAGGGGATTTCCACCAATTTATTGTTAGCGACCTTCAAGGACGTCAAAGAATTTAAATAACTTATTTCATTTGGCAAACTCTTCATCTTATTAAATGAAAGGTCCAAGTACTCCAACTTGTTCAGGCAACCAATTTCTGGTGGGAGGCATCTGCATGAGAAAAATGGCACCGTAATCAACATAAGCAAATGATTTCTACCTATATAGGCGATGAAACCAACAATAGTATAAATAGACTCACTAACCAAAAAGATTCAGATGTCAAGAGTAATAAGAAATATGATCCAGACACAGAACATTGAAGATTAATGAAGCAAACTTACAACATCCATCCTTCATCCAACATATATAATTTTACGTGAATTAGCCTCCCAAACTTATTTGAGGTGAACATCAGTTGTGAATCACCACTGAAGTATAAGAAATGGTAATGGCTAATCAAATCTAATAAAATTTAACCACATAATTTTGATCTTGAATTGGGTTCATAAATTCATTACATTATAAGTTTGCCATGAGCTTCTTTGACTTGGCTCATTGTACCCTCCTCCATGTCATCTTCAGCACTCGTGTTCGACTGTATTATCAGATTCAAATCATTGGATTTTCTTCCTCTAAATATATACAAAGGTCTGCTTCATTTCTTTTTTATTGCGCTGGACAAAGTGTGTGCTCTTTTTTTTTTAGTTTTGAAAAGATTAAAATAGTAATAGCTAGAACAGTTATTTTACATCAAAACTATACTGGAAGTTAGCAGTAATTAAAAAATAATTTATTTTATTTGAAAGATTAAAATCAAATAATGAACTCAGATTGAATTTATCACGTCTTAGTAAAGTAATCATTTAACATTATTCGGCTTAGATCTTATCTAATGTCTATTGATATGTTATTCTATTATCTTTTTCTTCTTGGAATAAATTATGAATTTCTATTGACGATATATATACGCCTTATTAAGTATGCCAATCTATCTTGTTTAGGTAAAATTTGTCCATCCTTATAAACTGTTATTTGCATATAGGTGAATCCATCCTTAAATTAATTTTAATGCTATAGTGCAAATTTCTAGTTAGACATAATTTTAACATTATATATAATTATCATCTATAGTCGTCAACAAAAAATACTTTTTTCCTTGTCCAAATAACTTATAGAGATATTATACAGAAAAGTTCAGGAACAAAATACCACTAAACTTCAAAGAGATTTGTATATTTTAACATACTAATGAATTATATACACTTTACTGTGTTTAACTTTATTCAAAATTTTCGGGCAAAATATTTTGGCTCCATATTTCATCAATGAATTCCACCCTCTCCCCACCCCCCCTTCCAAAAAAAAAATAAAAATCTAATCCTGGCTCCGTCTGTGTTCCCATACTATCTACTTTGGTTCATAGTATTCCTTTAACACAATGTTGCCTGAGAATTTAAGAAATAGCCTCACCTCAGATATCCAAACTTCAAAACATACATCAGAACATGGAGTGGCTGTTTCAGGCTTACTTTAGTCAGTATTGAATGGGACAGGAGAAAAAGGTTAAGAAGGTTGTCACACAACACCATATCAACTACTTTCTACAGTCACAAGTAGAGGAGAGTGGAAAGTAGGAATAAAACTGAACCCTCATCAATCTTGATAAAGATGGATTACTACAAGGCCAATGCACGATCCCGGACAGTATCAACTACTAATTACAAAAACATAAATCAATTATTGAAGAATTTCAAATGTGAGTACACATCAATAAGAGGTGCCACTTTTGTCAACATGTAATCACAATCTATAAATTTTACAATAACACTGCACAATCTCAAGTCAAAACTGCAACACAAATTTCCTGGAGGCAACTAAAGCAACCATGAAACCTGCTTGCCAAAAGAGCTACACCAGGGTTTTTAGACACTATGCCGCATCGAAATAACACATACCAAATGCATCCTGTGTCAAGACAGAGAACATAAAAACGCCTAGCCTAGAGCACCAAAGCTAAAGGACCGTCAAATGGTCCCTGAAAACCACACAAAAGCCCCAGCAAACTTAGCTTCTTACACCTCAGAAGCGAGCACTAACTTAAAAGACCAAATTTCTCCTCCTGACAGTCCCCAGACACTCAAAAATCTTACTAATTCACAGAACCGCACAGGACACATTGTATATAACTCCAATCCCAGCCAAACAAAAAGAAAAAACTCGAAAACTAACCATACAAAACAATAACACAAGCAACATACCTTATCGAGAAATGACAAACGGAGAGCTTGGTCAAGCACTTGAGCTGCGCGATCTCGCTGAGCAGAGGAAAAACCGAAGGCCGGCGCAGAGCCTTGCTCAGCTCGAGCTCTTTCAGCCCTTCCAGCTTATGCAGCGCCAGCCCATTCAGCCCGGGCGGCGATATCTTCACCTGCAGGCACTCCAGCCCCACCAAATTCCCCAGCTCGCTCGGGAACAGGTTCAGCTCGTTCGCGAAGAACTTGAGCGTCTTCAGCCTCCGCAGCTCCCCGGCCCACTTCGGGAGCAAGCTGAACTCGTTCTTGTACAGGTAGAGGTCCTTCACCGAGGACCCATTCAGGGCCGGGGGGGACAGCAGCGAGTACTCCAGGTTCTCCCCGGACACGTCGAGGCACAGATCGTCGTCCGAAGCCGCGCCCCCGCCGCCCCCGCCCCCGCCCTCGCCGCAGGGATCGCGGGCCGGGCTCGGGGGCTCGGGATGCTCGGGGGGATCGGCGCCGCGCTCCCCTCGCATTGCGGGGCCGGCCGCCGACCGCGATCGATTCGAACGAGGAGATGCGGACGAGGAGAAAAGATCGAAACTTCCGGGACGGAAGAGGATGTGGAGACGGGGACGGAGAGGAAAAAGGAGGATTCTTGAAATGGCGCGCGGGATTCCTCGAGAAATTTTTGGGGGAAGAGACGGAGAAGACGCTCCGCGGGGGGTCGCGAGCAGGAAACCCTAGACGACGACGACGACGACGACGACGGTCCTGTCGGGTCAAAGAAAGGGAAGCAGGAGCGAAAGAGGAAGCGGGGAGGGCCGGGGCGCGTTAAAGGAGAGAAAGTGATGCGGGCGCTCCGTGAAAAGTCCTGGATGCCCTCCGGCTTCCGAGCCGGGACGGCGCGGGCGGCGCGTGAATACCGAGTTCGGGCGAGGGCGTTTTGGGGAACCCGGAACCCGCGAGGTGGGTTCTCTCTTTTGAATTTAGCTTTGGATTTTATTTTTTTCCTTCCTTGTGAGAAAGGGAAACGGGGAAGTCTACCGTTGCTAAGAAATTTCCCAAACTTTATATGTGGTAATGCTTAGCGATGCACGTTAAGTCTAGGCCCCGGGTTAATGAGCCCGGTCATCGCAGCCCGTTGAAAGGCTAAAATCGGAAGCAGCGATATCCGGGCTCATAATGATCTCTAATATGCAGGGGTCTGTTGCTGGTCATTAGACCTGCTGAACGGGTGAATTAAATTTGATTCTGGTGGATTGAAAAATGAGTTCGAGGCAAATTGTCCAATTCAATCTATATTGACACGATTTTATCCAATTAAGTATTAGCGGCGTATATCCGGCCCGACCGGGAATCGATTCAAACCCAACCCAACATGGGCTCAAATTCCTGGCAATCATTTCCCTCAAGTGCAGAAAACAGCAAACCGGAAAAAACTAACCAATTAAACATGAAGAATATGATTGCCAGGAAATTATTAAAAAATTCGACAAATCAATTTGTTAGAATATATCTGTTATTTATCCTGGCGCTGGAAATTTCTCTACTATAGCACAAGAAACTGTGCCTGGAAAGATATATATGACATAAATGTATACCCTAGCAAGCACTATATGGAAAATACTTAAATTGTTAATTATGTAGAAATTCCATAATTTGATTTACTCACTTCCAGCTTCGCGATGAAGTTCTGCGATTAAGTCCGTTTATCATTGACATGGTTACTACCTCGGTGTATGGCATAATGGACAAGCAATCGATTTAATTTTTAGGCATCGAATGTTACAAGCGAAATATACTCCAAAATAAGTTAGGTTTTATAAATAATTAAGGAAATTTTTTTTATTATTGGTTAGATTTCAAAGGGCGATTGGCTTATGGCATACCAAACCCATATTTCTTCTTATTTCTGCAGGGCACCAGAGGGAAAATTTTCAACTCTGCAGGAACCTTTTTTTATTTCGAGAATTTTAAACACGATTATTTCCTTCCCGCACCGAAAAATTGAAAAGAGAAAAAACAAAAACGCATAGGCTCGATGTTGCTGTGGGCCTAGAAAGCCCAACTCGTACCACAAGGACGGACAGAAGACGGAGAGGTAGCGACACCGTCGGACCAAAGTAGTTTCTTTGGATTAAATGGGTTGAAAGTAGGTTCTTTCTAGACATATCAAAACCCGTCATTAGTTAGGCCTTATCCTATCATATCCATTTGAACCTACATTTAAAAAATCTTAGGCAACTCATATATCGCACGTTCCATTAAATATGAGTTACAATATAGGTGGGTGACCCATTTTGCCACCTATACTGAATCACACATAAGATTATATTAAAAAAAATCAAGCATTCCGCGAAGGGGAAGAAGCCCGAAGCGGGCTTGTTAAGGATGAAATGGCGTTTCGACGTTTGAGTTTCGGACAAATGAATGGTACATCGGGTTCTTTCGGAGGACGATAGTGCCTGCTTCGGGATGAAAAAGCGGATTCAAAGTTGAGAAGATTTTCGAAAACTTCGCGAGAGCAGAAGGGCACGCATGTACGCATGTAAAACACAACAGCAAGATTGGCTTTACTGGTAAACCCTGATTCGGAGAAGACTCTGCCACCACATCTATGTTCATGCGGCCTCGGTTCACCGGGGACGCGAGCATTTGTGCTTTTCCCATCGTGCGATCTTAATCCTTTGTACGTTCTTTTCCTTCGTCTAGTGAACTTAGTCGCGTCGCACAGAAACCTTCTCCTGCGGTAAGATCCTTTCTTCTCTACCATCCATTCAGTTTGCTCTGATTTGTCCCTTCCCTCACATTTTAATGCTTTCAGTTGGGTCTGTAGATGATGTTATGCATGTCGTACACCTGCTCATGCCCAATGCATGATGGCTTATAGTTATATCCTCAAGATTCAACTTTAGTTTGGATATCCAGCTGACATTTACTATTTTTGAAGACACTTATTTGGAGGATTTTACACTCCACGGACACACATTACTATTGCTCCACAGCATCCCCATGGAGGGTCCTAATGAAGTTTTCTGTTCTCCCACAGGGTACTTTGATATCAGAGCTTGAAGTAGAGAGTTTCATGACGAGCTTTTTGAGAGAGAAGCTCTGCTCTAAAGAGCTGGAAGTTGAGCAGCGACGAGCCGAACTTGCAACAGCAGTAAGAAACGCTGATATTGTCAAATACGAAGTTCAGAACGCGAAAGACAATCTTTCTTGCGCCGCCCACAAGTTAAAAGGACCCGGAACTTCAGGTGTTCCATACTCTTTGAAGACAACCTGTGTGAATGATAAGTGTTAGTGGTCTGCCCTAAGAATCAATCAAGGTTGATACTCTAATATTAGTTGTGGATTAGGTTGTGTCGGAAAATCGATCTTCACTATACTTAGGTAGTCATAATGTGTTGCTAGAGACCGCTTATGACTTGTGGGCCAAAAGGGTTTTGTGCACACTGCTAATGTGTAGTGAACCTACAGGGTCGCACACAATCGCGAACGGACTTCATATTTTCTGTGCGCCTTGATCTACTTCAGAAGTAGATTTATTCTCCTATTTAAATTATCTACGCGGTCGTGCGCATTATGAGATAACGTTACATGTACAATTGGAGGTGGATAGTTTGGGCGGGCCCAAATAGCCCGGCCCATTAGGGTTTCCTATGAGGCTATATATATAGCTATAGATAGTGAGAGAGTCTCACGTCAGATGACGCACGCCTCCGTGCCTCCATAGAATACGGAAACCCTAGAGAGAGTGTCTTCAGGAGAAACTCTACGATAGAGAATCGTTCTTTATTCGGCGTTCAAGAAAAGGAACTTCAAGATCTTTCGCTAGCACGTGGATCGTTGGAGAATTCCGTTCGTGTGTGTGGATACCGGTAGAGGCGCAACACTTGGGGCGCTAATCCAGACACAATCGGTTGCCGATTTATCTTCGATACGCAAAGGTACGCGTCGAAATTCCCTTTCGATTTCAATATACACATGGATCCTGTCTGGGGTTCTATATTCCGCTGCGTTGTTTTTCGTTGATGAACCCTACAGTGGTATCAGAGCTGCTTGTGATATATTGAAGTTGAATTGGAAACCCTAATTGTTGATACATATGATGTATGCCTGAAGTGAGTCTCAATTAGGGTTAGATGAATTTGAAATACGAATTGATATGATCAATTCAGAAGGAACGAAGCAGGGATGGGTCGATGTCGATCCTGTTCCGCTCGCGTCGAGGCGAAAACTGCGTCGCGCCTGGGCTATTGCCCGAGGCGGGGACGCGCGGGCGGAGACGGCAGGCTGAGATGGCGGCGCGTCTGGGCTGTTGCGCGAGGCTGAGACGGCGGTCGGAGACGGCGGCGCGTCTGGGTCTACTGCCCGAGGCGGAGACGGCAGCGCGCCTAGTCTTCCGGCGCGTCGAGGACTCGCGGCGTTCGGCCAGTTGCGTACGATAAGGGCGCGGGAGGCGGCAGCGACAGATAGTCTCCCGACAACACAGAATTGAGATTTCTGTTTATGTTTTCGGGACTCTCCTGAAAACAGAATTATGAATTCTGTCTAGCTTTCGGGGGCGCTGCCCCCGAGACCACCGCAAGGGGCTCTGCCCCTTGACCCCGCGAGGGGCGCTACCCCTTGACCCCGCAAGGGGGCGCAGCCCCCTTGACCCCTACATGGAATTGGTCATTCTTGTATGATTGATATGTCTTTGTTATTATAAGTGATGCTTTGTTGATGTTCAGAACATGCATACATTCATCATTGCATAATAAAATTAAGGAATACATGATGCATTTCCAATCATACACCTATTAAGACTCGAATCGTCAAAAGATGGACCTGCCAAAGCAGGGTGTCTTAGACTATTTGAGTAAAATAGGATGGATAATGGTTATCCATATGTTGAGATTGGTTCACTGCATAATTATCAAAAGTCCCTAATAAAATTAAGTAGTATATGATGCCTTTCCCAATCATACACCTATTAAGACTCGAATCGTCAAAAGATGGGTCTGCCAAAGCAGGGTGTCTTAGACTATTTGAGTAAAATGGGATAGATAATGGTTATCCATATGTTGAGATTGGTTTACTTAACGAGGCTATCAAAACGGTTTTGGGCCTTGAGGCATAGTGTTTGGGGCTATGATATGAGATATCAACTCCAACAATCAAGAGTTGTATTCGATACAATTGACAAAGGGTTGTCTACCTAAATAACTTAGTCTTGAGCGGTAAGCCAAAGCTTACTCAAGTCTTTGTGAAATATGGATCTTGGTCCACTATACTTATTGGGACACATATTATAAAAGTATAGTTGGAATTATAAAATTAACGAACAATTCACTTTGCATATTTGTTGCATATTTGTTGTAGACAATGGTAAATAGCACTGCATCATACTTTTCACTGCGATCTGTCCTTGAGAAGGATAAATTGAATGGTTCAAACTTTTTTTGACTGGTATAGAAGCTTGAGAATTATTCTCAAGTGGGAGAAAAAAGATTATGTCTCCCTCAGAAGGCAACTCCTTCCGATGCTCCCCATGCTGAAAGGA